GGCGCGGGATCTCGCGTGGCCCGAGCGCGCCTGCATCGCCTGATGTCATCGCGCAGGGATCGGCGCCGCGCGTCTGCGGGCCGTGCCCGTGGGCCGCGATGCGTGGGAGGCGCTTCGGGTTCGTCGGTCGCCGTCGAGGCCGGGGCTGATGTTGCGTCGCACGCAACGGGTCTGCGGGGAGGGCCACTGCGCTGAGGGCCAGGGTCGGCGACTGCAGGGGGCTCTCCGCCCGGGCACGGAACCCGACGGGCGGCGCTTTCGGCCTGTATTCTTCGCGGCAACACCCCAAGCACGGCGTCGCCAACTGGCTCGCCAGGGGCTATGGCCGTCTGGACAGGGACGGAAGGTCAGCCGCCAGGGAGGCCAGGACGTCTCTGGCGGCGGCTCCGTCGGCCGAGCGGGCGCGGCTTGCCCAGTTGCGCCCCCTTTCCCGGTCTGGGATGATGACTCTGGTACAACGGGGATTCTGCCGAAGCGACGCAGCCACTGCACCTCGAAATAGGGGCACCCCAGGCACTCGAGTTCTCCTTCTACGGGCTCTTGGTCTTCATCCATGACAGAATAATCAAGGGGGGCGGGTGGGGAGTAGGGCCCCCTGGCTCGAAAGTCACTCGGAAACCACTCAGCGAGTTGGGGCACTGCCGCTAGGCGGCCCCTAATGGCGTCATAGAGATCGATGGCTCTTTCGCTGGCGATGCCTCCCAGCCGCGCGACCGAATCGGCCGGGCCGGGTTCACCTCCTTGCCCTGGCTGGAGGGGGTTGCGCGGGCCCAGCGGCTCGGCCCTCCAGGCCCGAACTCCGCGAGGAGCCAGGTGGCGCTGCAATTGGCTGGGCCGCGGCGCCCGCCGGGGGCGCGCCTGACAGCCGCAGTTGCGAGGGGGCGCAGCGCGTCATCGCCGAACTCACTGGCGAATTGCGCGGGGGCACCGGTGAACTCGCTGTCGCCCGCTGAGCTGTCTGACAGGGCCGGGTCGGGGCCAGCCGCGCATCCAAGGGAGCACAGACACCTGGGGCGGGTCGCAGAGGGCCCAGGATCCGGGGGGGGGCGAAGAATCCCCTTCCAGCAGATGTCGGAGGGGGCAAAGAAGTCCCCTTCCAGCATAGCGGGGGGCGGGGGCTGGAATGGCCAAGCCCCTACGTTGGCCCGCGCCTCGACGCTGCGATCGCGCGGGCCAGGCGCTGCCCGCGGGCCCCCCGCGCGGCTGCGCGTCAAGGAGAATGGAATCGAGGACTGGGAACCGCGGAACTTGCCCGTTGTCCTCCAGAATCTGCTCATGCGGAGCTCGGTGGCGCGTTCGTCTCGCTAGAGCGGGTAAAAAGCGCCATAGTGAAGGTCGGGCCCGAGATCGATGTCTCCGTCGTCGCGCGGGGGGCGGCCACCGAGGTTGCACCTCTCAGCTGCCCGGGCGGCTGCGTCAGTGATGACCCTGGCTTGACTTCTGGCCCGGGGAGACACCCCGTCCCTCGGCCCGATAGGGCAGGCCACAATTGCCGCTCTGAGCGCGGCGCAGTGGAGGGCGAGGAGCTGGCATGGAGCTGGCATGCATCCGCCGTGCCTGACCGGCCGGTCGCAGTGCTGCATGGCCCGGGCAGCATAGACACGGCCCACGATGGCGAGGGCGCCGCGCGGCCAGCGAACGGGCCACCAAAGCGGCCGACATCGGCCTGGCCAGGGGTCGCGCCACCAGGCGCCGGGCGCAGAGGATAACGAAAGCAGAGGGCGCACTCGAGGTCCTCACAGCGGGGCCCGCCGTGCATTGCAGAGCGGGCGGGCGGGGGGCCGGCCCTCATCTCGCGCGAGGGCCTACAGGGAGCAACAGGCGCGTAGTCAACGCACGGCTCGCGCATGGGCCCATCGCTGCCTGGGGGAGCGATGCGGCGCGGGGAAGGGGGGGCAGGAGGAGCAGGGGCGGGGGGAGGCACTGGAGGCCCCTGGGATCCTGGGAGACCTCCAGGACCAGACGCCGCGACGTCCTGGGCATCGTTCTGCTCGAACGCACCCTGACCGGGATCACATCTAGGACCTGGGTCGATCGCTGATCTCACGCTGGGGCGAGCTGCCGTCGGTTCGCCCTGTCCTCGGGGGGCTTCCGGCAGGGACGCACCGTCGGACCTGGCGTCACCTGGCGCGGCAGCATTTGGGGCGGCACCGCCCAAGGGCCGCTGGTCGCCTGCTCTGCAGGGAACGCGCTCCGCTTGCATCCCGCCCTGGGGCTCGGGACGAGGGGGGTCGTACCCAGCGTGCTGGGGGGCCCGCAGGTCGCGAGCGCGGACGGACCTCAAGCCGGAGGGTTCCCAATGAGGTTTTGGGGAGAGGGCTTTCCAGGAGGGGTCCTGCAGGGGCTTCGCACCCCCTGTTTCGACAAGGTTCCGAGGCCACTGGGGGGCTCTCTGGAACCCCCCCCCCAAAAAAAAAACGGTTCTGGAACCCTCTGGTCGAGTAGCCGAGCAGGGCGTCCTGACTGTAGCGGGCAGGGTCCCGCACCTCCCGGTTCGCGTGTGACGGCCGCGGGCCCTGTCGGCAGTCGCCCCACGAGGTCGTCGCGCCGCGGTCCCCCGAGGGCGTGGGAAGGCGCGGCAGGCTGCGCACGTAGCTCACGAGGTGGGCCAGGGCAGCGCGCTTGCCGTCCCATTCGATGCCATCTGGGGTCCCGGACTGGGGGATGGTGTCGCCACAGACACTGCTGACGACATGCTTGCAGTGGTCCTCGGCCAAGCTCTGGGGCCACGAGGAACCCCGACATGAATGAGGGCCGCGCTGCGGTGCTTCATGGTCCAAGACCTCCATGCATATTGGATCTAAGGGTGGAGGGATCGGGCGTGGGCCACCATGCAGTGGGCGATGGTGTTGTCTGCCTTGCCGTCGAGGGGCACGGGAGGCGCGCAATCCAGTGCCTCCAGGCCTGCGATGTCCCGAACCCTTAGCGCCGGGCACATGGGTCGGTCGCGCGCATGGAGCAGCCCATCCAGGAGGCTCTGGGTGGCCGCAGGTGGCTGCATCTGCTTGCCAACCCCCGGCCCTGTGCTCCTACCGCGAGGCTGCTGGTTGGCTGCGGGCTGAGGTGGGGGTCGAGGACCCAGGCCTCCGAGGCCTGTCCCGCGGACAGGGCTGCTGCCTCCGGTCCAGGCGCGGCGGGGGCGCATGCGGGAGGGCTGCGAGTGGCGCTGGGTGGGCGCCTCCTTGATGGTCTGTCCTGTCCCGTGGAAGAGCAGCTGGAAGCGGTGCGGCGGGGCGCCCAGCGGCGATGGCGTCGGGAGGGGCGTCGCGGACCCGAGCTGCCTGCCCCTGGACTTCTGGGTTTGGTCCGAGTGGGGCCCACGGGTCTGTGACCTGCGGCGCGGGGCGGGCCTGGCTGCGATGGACGTCCTTCCCAGCGCGCTGGCGACGTCTCTGCCCGAGAACAGGTCGTGTGGGCCGGCCGTTCGGCGGGGGGCTCTTCAGGGGGGGCCTCTGATCCCTCGGCTTGCCAGGAGGGGGGGGGGGGTGCGGTTCGAGGGCCGAGTCAGGGACAGCGGCGGCGGGGCGGGCGGGAGCAGGGTGCGCCCGTGGTTCGGGGCGACGCGGGGAACACCAGAATCCAGTCCCTGGCGAGGATGGTCGCGACGTGGCTGGAGCGGGCATCCCAAAGGTACACCAGGCAGCTCGCACAGCACCAGGTGGCGTTGCACTGTTTGGTCGCAAAGAGGCCGTGCCCGCTCGTGGAAGGGGGGGAGGCCACGAGCGCCGCGATCCGGGTCACGGCCCACTTGCCGAAAGGTGGCGGTCCCGAGCGGGCCACACGCGGGGGCCAGGCCCAGATGGCAGCAAGGTCTGCCCTCCGCCCGCCCTGCGCCTGCCGCGCCTCGCCACGTCACACACACGCACACACACGGCTGATCCAACGTAGCGAGTTCTAGGGCGAGACGCGCCTGGATCGATTGCCACCAAGCCTCTACCCGCGGAGGGTCCAGACGTGGATGACGCGTGCAGTGAGGAGCATGGGGGCCAGAGTAAGTGCACGTGGAAAAGGCCGAAGCCATGCAGAGCGGTGCGACGAACCACGCACGCACGCACGCACGCACGCACACGCACACGCACACGCACACGCACACACACACACACACACACACACAAACACGAATACTGCCAACGCGGTCGCAGGGAACGAGGAGCAGGGAGCGCTGGACAAGAGCGCGTGCGGCCCGAGGTCGAAAGCGGGTGCCGGGGAAGACGCCGATCGCCTCTCGGCAGATCTTCGCCGCGAGACCAGCAGAAAGTCCTGCTCGCGAGGAAGCCCTGGCAGTGACCGCCCTGGTGCACGAGCGGCGAAAAGCCGCGAAAATACCCGGATCCGCACCCTCGCGGTCCGACTTCCTCGGCGCGATCCCGCGCATACACGGTGGCACCGATACGTTCCGCGCGGGGCATCCGCGCAAAAAAAACGTATCCGCGGGGTGACGGCCCATACGTCCAGCCCACGAGGCCGCGCATACGGATATGTGGTTCGCCCGCGACCGGTACTGGGGAAACCAAAAGGTACTACTCTCGTGACCTCTCCCGTGGTGCGTTCTGACCAGAATTTGGAGGCGAATCCAGCGGTGGCGACGAGCGCATGCCAGAAGGCCCAGGCGGCCCAGGAAAGGCAAAAACGACGCGATGGTAGCGACATCAGTATTTCTCCTCCTCCGAAGCATCGCCCTGTATCCGCGGGGTTGCGGCCCAGAGGAGCGGCCCGCGCAGCCGCGCATACGGATATGTGTTTCGCTCACGGCCAGTGCAGGCCATGTCCGACCATGAGGGGCAACGATAGTGGGGGACTGGCAAAGGGGGGACACATCGACATGGAATCGGCGATACATCGAGGAGGAGGAGCAGGAGGAGGAGGACGAGGAGAAGGAGAAGGAGGAGGAGGAGAAGGAGGAGGACCCCCCCCCTCCAACTTACGGTGGTGGTGGAAAACACGCCCATCATTCACTGCAGGTCGTGTCCGACCAAGGCGTTCCGAGCTCCCGGGCGGTCCTCGTGCCTGGCCGCGGCCTCGAGCAGCGTGACGCAGATGCGCGAGTCGGCCAGGTCCTCGCGGCGGGCCGAGGGGCGGCGCGGGGCAGCGGCTGAAGAGCATCAAGAGGAGGGAGAGGAGGAGGAGGAGGAGGAGGAGGAGGAGGAGGAGGAGGAGGAGGAGGAGGTGGAGAGGAGGAGGAGAGGAGGAGGAGGGAGGAGGAGGAGGAGGAGGAGGAGGGAGGGGGGGGGGAGGGAGGAGGGGGAGGGGGAGGGAGGAGGAGGAGAGGAGGAGGAGGAGGAGGAGGAGGAGGAGGAGGAGGAGGAGGAGGAGTCGCTCGACGTCCGACCCCGCCCCCGGCCGGCCTCGGCCCCAGCCGCCCACCCGCGCCAGGCGGGCGCCGTGCCAGGCCCCGGCCCGAGAGGGCCCCAACCTCCCTGCCCCTCGGACCAGGGACTTTCCCACTCAGGCCAAGGGAGTCCGCGAGTGCCCTAGTCACTCCATGAGCCCCATCCGCCGCAGTGACGGCACGCCTCGGCCGCGGGGGCCCCCCGCGCCGCGGGGGGTTCCTCCGGCGCGCCCCCCGACGGCCTCGTACCGCGGTAGGACCATGCACGTTCCATCATCGGCCGATCGGAAGCCGCCATCCTCTTCTGGACCGCCGCCCCGGGGACTGCCTGCCGTTTAAGCGCGCCGTGCCAGGGCTCGAGCTGCTGCCGCCCAAGCGTCCATGTCCCTCACTGAGGACAAAAAACTGCTGGTTCCCCATCGGGGTCGGCCTAACTGGGGCTCTTCCGCCGCGACTCTCGCCACGGCACTCCGCGCCGTGGATCGAACCCGCTCGACGGTAGCTCCGCTGCCAATGCCGATGTGATGAGCTATTTCGCCACAAGCGGCCGCGCCCTGCTGCGGGCAGGTCAAGAAGGCTAAGCCCCCCCATCCGACCTTGCGTCGGGAGGGCTGGCGCCAGAAAACGGCGCCGGGACGGGGGCAGGTGGCCGCGGCAACAATGATTCTCAACAACGACGCTGCAGGGCCCTGAGAGGGCCCCAAGATGGGCCCAATGAAACACCCACAGATGTACTCGAAAGGCGCCAGACTACCCAACAGCGCCCCCGACGACGGCCCAGGGAGACCCCAAGAAACCCCGACAGGCCGTCAACAAGCCTCCACGAGGCACCCAAGGACCATCTGGACCATTTAACCAAGCACAGGGTCGCGCGGGGGGGGGGGGAGAGAACGAGAGGAAGGCAGAACCCCGAACGGAGATGCTTCGGCGCAGGCGGAACCCCGCCTCACCGCCACACCTCCACAACCGCTACTGGCCAGTTAGCCCTCCACAGGAGGGCCAACTACCCGGCAGCGACGGATGGTCATCCGCCCCCTCCCTGGGGCACAGCGGCCCTCTCGCACGCTCTCGCCAGGCTTCCGAGGTCACGCGCGTCGAGGGCCGCCTGCAGGGCCCTCGGCACCCCATCTCTGCGAGGGTACTTGCCCTCCTCGACGCGGCCCATATTCCCTCGGCCCGTTCGGAAAATGCCCTCGCACTTGGCCGCCAAGTGGCGCCCATCCACCGCGGCGCATTTGCCGCAAGTGGCACAAAAACTCACGAGGAACCGCCCCCACCGCTGGACGGCGCGGGGCGGGCGCGCTTCCCGCCCCGCCGCAAACCCAGCGCCCCCCGCCCCCACCACGCAGACAGGGAGACCACGGCACTGGGTCTTGGCAGCCTCGACGAGGCGAGAAGCTGGCACCACAATGTTGCACTCGCTGCACCCCCACGCCCCCGTACTCCGCTCGAAAAGATGACTGGAGGCGCGCAGAGTTACTTTCAGCTAAGAGGGCGCTGCTCTCCTCTGGACATGGCCCCTGGCCCCACTCCACGGGTCGGCCTCCGCCGCCACGGCCAGCGCGCGCCCCGCGCGCGCTCGGGCCAGGGCGCCGAACGCACCCCAGCGGTCCGTCTGAGGCCCCCCCCCTTCAGCCGACGCCGCCCACCCTCTCCCCGCAGCGGCCCCCGCCTCCTCATCAGCCAGGGCACTGCCCTGAATTAGGCAGGAATCAATTGGCTCGCTGAAAGTTGGCTTCGCCCGCGCGAAAAAGGGTCTACTTCAGGTTCACCCCCGTAAAACGAGCTTGGAGGCCACCCGAATACTAGACCAGAAACCTTGATTTGACCCGTCCGTTTGGAACTAACGACCTCGCCCCACGCTTTCATGAGAGGCTCGCGGTCGGTCAAGAACAGAAAACGCACAGGGGCATTCTCTAACGCGATGGCGAACGCGAGCAGCTCAGAAAGAGGGACCGCTTGGCGCTGCACTCCTACAAGAATCGACAATTCCAACAACAGCCCCCAACCCTCTCGGCCATCAGACTGCATGGTGATCACCGCCGTGCCACACCCACGCCTGCGTGGGTCCGCACTGCGCCCCCCCCCCCCCGATCCGTCTCCGAACGCCACCACACACCAAAAGTGGGGCGCGGCTCAACAGCAAAAATCGGGAGCGGCCCCAGGGCCCGCAGATTTTCCACCGGAGAAATAACGAGGTGGGCGTAGCTCTTGGGCGGCGCGCCTCGAATCCACAGCACTGGACAACTTTCCTACTGCGGCTGGGCCTGCAGTCCGGCACATTCGCTCTTCAATATTTCTTGAAAGCCAACGTTGCACGGAAACTCCCACACACGGTGAAAGATTCCCCGCGCCCTGCTGGCACCTCAGGCACAGTGTGTCTACATCATATCCTAAGGCCGCCTGCCTCTCTCGGGTGAACTGCCTGCCAGACACTGCTGCATTCTGAAGGCCTACGAGGTCATGCGCTTCGCTCGCCTGCAGGTGCAGTAGGGTCGCCTGTCGCGTCGGTCCTCCACTGCGCCGCGCCCCCGAACAGAGCCCCCGCCTCCCATGCTGCATTGCGTGATCTCCACCGCGAGGACCATGCGCCATCTCACCCATCTGCGCTCTCCGCGTTCGCAATCATCGAGCCTCGTAAGCCGCTGAGCGGCGCAGCTCTTGAGCTGGTGAGCAAATCTCTGCTTCGCCGCATAGGGCCCCAACGCCCTTGGCGCGCGGGAACCATGCCCATGCTCGCGAACTGCACGCGCAGCGGGGCATTCGCTGTCTCCCCGGGCGCCCCGCTCGCCAGCGGCCCTGGAGACGCGCCCGTCGGGAAGGAGGGCAACGGCCACCCGCGCGTCCGCGGCCTCTTGCATCCGATGGTGGGCCCCGCTGCTGGTAGTCGCCGAACATCCTGCCCCTGCGGCTAGCTCTGCCCTGGGGGCGAGCGCGGGGCCCGAAGCCGCTCGCTCTGCTCCGCGGGTGAGCGCTGAGCCCGACGGCGCGGCTAGCTCCACCGCAGGGGCGGGCGCGGGGCCCGAAGCCGCTCGCTCTTCCCCCACGGTGAGTGCTGAGCCCGATGACCTGGACACCGACGCGCATGAGCCCACCGTAGCCGCCGCCTCTTCAGCGTCAAAGTGCCTGCTGTGCACCCTGGGCTGCTCGGAGTAGCCTCTGAACCTCATCGTCAAAGTCTCGCCCATCATGATGGTCGCCAGGTATAAGGGGCGTTGTCGGCGGTGTGAACAACAGGCGCAGCGCTCGACGAAGAGGTCGCCCCTGCTGGCGCTGCCGACGTCGGTGACGCCGGCGCCCTGGCACATGCAACAGCTCCGCCCTCGGCCTGCTCCGCGGCTGCATCGCGGTGGGCCTCTTCGGGACGCTGCCGCTCGGCCCCAAGCTCACGCAGCTCGGCAGTTCCCTTGCGACACTGGCCCAGGTTCCTGGCCGTCTCGCCAAAGAGCTCGCCGATCTTCGCCTTGAGCTCCTTCGCGAACTTCGCCTGCAGCCCCTGGGACGCCCTTCTGTAGGCCTCGTCCACATCAAGCCCGTCCAGCTCGAACGCGGGCCCTGCCTCGAAGTGGACCTCGTCGCTCTCCAGGAGGGTGGGGAGGTTGAGAGCCACCCCTGACTTCTCCTGCACCACTGGTGACACCTCAGCCCGAGCCTGGCCAACAGTGCCTCCCCTGCTGCCCGCTGCGCGCGAACTGCTTCCTGGGCGACATGAAGAGCGGTTTCCTTCCGCTCGAGGTACCAGACGTGCGCCTTCGCCTCCGACTCCACGGCCTTGTCGAATGCCAGCTTGGCCTTGCGCTCCTGCGCACACTTGTGCTGGTACTCTTGGTTGGGGTCACTCTGGACAGCTGGCGCAGGCGGCGGCAGCTGTTGCTTGGGCCCTTCGATCGCGGACGGGTCAAGATGCGGTGCAGTTTCTTGCAGCGCCTGGAGGAGCTGCTCGGGGCTTGGGACGGCCTCCTTAGCCCCCATCGACCTTCGCACTCCTTTTGCGCCATCGGCGCGACTTGGGCCAATCGCTCCACTCCTTCCATCCATCGTGCTGTTCGCCAGCGATCGCCTTCTGAACTCGAGTCTCCCATACGCCTTGCGCTGCCATCTCACGCAACGGTGGAGGGGCCACGAGCTCCAACGACTTGGCGCAGCTGTAGCACTTCGAACGCCCCTTCCACGTCCACTTGTACCCGCACGCTGCACACTTGATGAAACCCTCATGCATAACCATGGCTGACGGAGGTTGGAGGCCCTTCTCCCCAGATACGCGCTCCGCTGGGAGCCTCTGGTCGCGCACTGGGGAACGAGTGACCTCCGTGAGGGATGAAAACTGCCGCGGACTAGCGGTATCTGGTTTCGCAAATGCGGGCTCAGCGCGCCACAGCTTTAGTCTTTAGCCCGAATGGCTACGGGTGAGGCATCCAAGGAGGAGGAACAAAGAAAGAAGGAGGAAAACTACGACGAGCCAAAAAGAGAGACGCCCAGACAAAACACGGAGCAGCGTGCCACATCTGTAGGGCGACTCTAGCAAGTTGTCACACGTTACGGCTTCAATTGCGGTCCTCGAACCCAGAGTGTTGTGCTGACACGGTGGTGGCACCCGCCGCAAGCAGTTGGATAAATACCGTTCGTCTTGGAACCAGGACTGGTTTGCACTAGAGCTGACAAACTTTTGACGACATGGCTTTGGAGTGCTTTGTATGCGCAGCCCCTGGAACATGTAGGCGCTCCCTCGACGACGGAAGTAGACCAGGTCATTGAATAGTTGTGCAAAAAGGGAAGTTTTGGAGTAGACCAGGACGGCCTACCAAAATATTGATTATATGCCAGGAAGAGCTCGTGTTCTACCTCTGGCACCTCTTCTTGCATTGGATAAGTTGCGTTGCGTTGTTGCATTGCTGTGGCGGCACCCAAGATGTATTGCATTGTTGCGCCCAGCGGCCCACACCCTACACACCCTACACACACAAACACACACACTACACACACACACACAAACAAACAAACAAACACACACACACACACCCTACACACACACACACAAACAAACAAACAAACAAACAAACTGACAACTTCGTAGCGTTCCAAAGCACAGGCCTCGAGGGAGCGCGGCTCGAGGCCCCGCGGGACGGAGAGCGGGGCGACAAGTGGCCGCTCCTGGCACGCGCTGTGCATGGCGTGCCGGAACCTCTCCGCCATCCTCGTCGCGGGCGCGGGGGGACCCCTCCGATGAGGAGGATCCAAGGGAGCCTAGGTCCAGGGAAGGGGCACTTCGGCCACTCTTGTCCACGTTGGCGGCCTTTTTGAGACCGATCGAGCGGCGCAACGCCTCAACCAAGCCCACATCCTCGTCCATCCCTGCTCCACCTTTCCGTCCCTCGACCCGACCCTTACCCGTCTAGGCCCTCTCCTCCTCGTCCTCCTCCTCCTCCTCCTCCCTCCCTCCCTCCTGCATCGCCGAAAATGCCCCCGACCACTAGGCAGCCGGCTCTGGGGCAGCCCGACCCCCACCCCCCACCCCGCGCGAGTCTGCCCCTGGCCGCCTGCGTGGGGTAGAAGGCAAGCGCCGGGGACGACGACGGGGACAAGGACGAGGAGGGGGAGGAAGTGCGATGGACGGTGGAAGGGACAAGGATAAAAGAGGCACGGGTGGACGGGCGCACGGACAGGCGGAGATGAGAGACGTAAGGGCCTGCGCATAACGTGACGTAGCGGCGTCCTGGGGCCGACTCTGCGCCTGCCTGCGCGGGGAGGCCCACGGGCCCACGGAAGCAGGGGAGCAAAAGAAATGCGAAATAAACGACTTTAGCGACCGTGGCGCCGCGAAGCAAGAGCGAAAGGGGGATGGCGAAACGGGGAGAGGAGGGGAAAGGGACACGATTACCTGCCCGTAAAAAATACCAAATGACTGCGGCACTCAATTCGCTGCGGAAAACCGGTACCAAGCATCGACAGGCGAAGAAACGCAAAGCAATACACAACACGGGCACCAAGTAAAACATCCAATGGAATGAAGACACGTCAGTGCAGCTGCAACGAAGGGAGGAGGTGGAAAGGGAAGAAAGAGGGCAGACGGTCCGCAATGTCATCCCGACGAGCCTCTTCACCATCCTCCTCTTTGACATCCGAAAGCATACCATTGTTGTGCACATCCTATCATGTGTATTCCGCCTCTTCCTGCTTATACTCGTCATGGTCATCCCCGAACCACCACCACCCCGCGCACGCCCATTATGTTCCCCATCCCCCATCATATCCCTCTCCCTTACCCTCATCCTCACAATCCTCATCTGATAGTTCGCAGCATCATCATCGCCGCCGCCATCTTCATCATCATTGTCATTGGTATCATCACACTCACATGCATCATCTGCACCATTATCATCGACATCGGTATCGCCGTCGGCATCGTCAGAATCGCCATCGGCATCGTCATCATAACCATTGTGATTCATCAGCATCAGCATCAACTTCGTCGACACCAGTCATCAGTATCACAATCAACTTCGTCGACACTTCGGATATCGTCCCGCCTCTGGAGGGGCCCTAGGGTCCAGTCGTCCGTGCTGCTCTCTGTCCTGGTGGGGTGCGCCGACCTGGTGCGGGAGGGG